GTAGCATTTTGTTGTTCAATTTTTTGCCACCCTAAATTTATGAAAATATTATACTATGTTTAATAATCATTTTTTTCCAACATTTATTTGTACTTCAAAAAAAAAGTGAAATTTAGATAATAATTACATTCCAATTTTTCAGTTGGTCTAGTCTTGGCAAGCTCTTGAGCTCTTCTTCTTGCATCAATGTCTTTTTTTGCATAGTAATATGCTCCTCCTCCAGCTTTTTTTTTTATAAATTTGTCAGAATCAAACTTAAAATTTTTCCCCTTTTTTTTTATAAAAAAAAAAACTTACCGGCAAGAAGAGCGATCCTAACGAATTGGTTTAGAAATAATAAGTAAAAAAATAAAAATAAAAATAAAAATAAGGAATAAAAAAAGGTTATAGTTCTTACCATCCGATAATCATAGATCCAGGCGTGTTCATATTTTCGTATTTTAACTTCTTTTAAACAATAAATAAGGAAAATAAATAAAAATTCTATAGAAAGTCTGAGAATTTATAAGGGATACAAGTCAACTTTTCCCTTCGATCATGTAAAGTGTCTCTATCAATTTTCCATTATATAAATAATAGGAAAAGATCGTATGATTTCAAATTTTTTTTGCTCAAAAAATGTGAATATTTTCAAGTTGTCAATACAGATCCCGGGTCTAATCTAAATAGTACCAAGGAAAATTATAATCAAAAATCAAAAATCATGTGATCTGCATGATATTATAAAGGACTCAAATGGTTTAACCTTGTAAGGCACCGCTTGCTTGTCATCGAACAAAGAAGTGAAATGTATGGGAATTGTTATCGACAAAAATTTATCACTTTGATATCTCTTGAGTTTCGTGAAAAGTGAAGAATGCCGTTAAAAAACCATTTAATCAATGGATAGAAGCCTTTGAAGTGCTTACCAACCCTCATGCAATAGTACAAACAAAGTTAATTAGTATCACGGATAACAGGAGTGAACAATTGAAAGTCTTTGACACTAGAAGTGTCTATCTCCAATACCGGGCGTTCAAATCATCATACCCAACTTTATTGTGGAAATTGAAATAATTTTCTTTACGTACTAAGATCCAGTTATGTTTAGCGATCGTCGTATATACAAACTATACCTACTGGAGTTACAGTTCCTTGTGATCAATTACCAACTTGCTTTTAACAATGTTCCTACTGGTGTACCTGTAAACTTCAATATAGATTTATTTAGACTGTCAAGATGTAATTCTG